AGCAACCCCTACCCCAGCTACCCCGAAGCCGACAGAGGATCCGGCTCCGTCCCCTGGATGGACACCCCAGCCACGCCCCTCCTTTTCCGAAATACACTCCAGAATCTTTTCAAACCCAACACTCCAGATCCTTTCCTCAAAACATCGCTAGAGGCCTCTACCACATCCCAACTTTTGTCCAGACTGATCCCGAAACCCAGTACCCCCCTCACAGGATATAAACCATCTCAATCCCCTAGACATTTACGACCATCAGCTCCCCGCCCCATATTGTCCTGACTCAGAACTCTCCCACTATCTGCACCCATTCGTGCCTCTTTCACGAGCCTATCACCCAAATACCCCATATTCATGCTCCATTGCCTACCCCTTTTTCTCCAAGACCTGGGGCCTTGAGTCGAGTTTTCCAAGCTCTTCTTGGTAATCCTCGGGTTTTATCTGCTATCCTACTACTGTACTACATAGCCCAAAGCGCAGTGGCCCATGTGTTCTGGGGTTGTCATTCTGCCTAGTTACTTCCTCTGCTTCTACCCCCCATTTCCCAGGAGATGGTATGAAAGTTGGCTTTAACATCACAATATCTAATAAAACATTAGCTAGTATTAGTAGAGCACTTTGCACATAGTAGGGACTCCATAAATAAATAGGCCTGTTAAATTGAATGAATAATTGCCTCAGAGCTTGGCCTATCCCACAACCAGTAATCACTGGGGTGGTTATGCCCACGAACATCCTGTCAGGCAGATGCAGAGCCGGTTCCAAATCCAGCCTACCAAGGGTTCCCCTCCCTTTGCCCAGGCCTCTACCTAGCCACTGGAGCCTACTCCAGAGAGCCCTTCTCAGAAGTCCTGGGTGAGAAGGTGGGACAAGCCGCTCAACACTCTGTTCCCTGCAGCTTCACTGGATCTTTCCAGGGATTCTCTTTCTGAGCAACAGGGGCCTGCCTCTTCCTTCACTTGGCCCCATCAGTGATTGTTTATTAATTATACTAATGATAAAAACAACAAACAGCAGTGCTGGCAGCATCCTCAGACCCAGCTGGGGGCGCCCCCAGGCGGCAGCACAGGGGGAGACTCTGGAAGCGCTGTCAAGAGTTGGATGGCAGGTCCCAGAGTCACTGGTTTAGCTCAGCACTTTGCCAATTTTTTTTTTTTTTTTTTTGGCGGGGGTTGGGGGGGGCACCATAGGTTGCCTCTAGGACCCTTTCCTAAAGGAAGAAAACTTGCTCTCTTCCAGAATCCATAGTTTCTGAGCTTAGGCTGAGTCAGATCAGGGCAGGCAATAGTATGGGGCTGAAGCCAGATTTGCAAGGGCCGCTACTGTGGCAATGTGGCTAGTACAGCCCTGTACTTGGGCACTTGTCACTTCTCAAGGCTCTCTCTCCCACTCTACTCTCTGAAGGGGACTTCTAGCTTCCACTGAAAGGAAGCCTCCCCTTACTGACTTTGGCTGACATTGGAAAGACCCCTCCAAGAGGATGTTGAACAGAGCCCAAACCCAGCCTTCTACTTCCTCTACTCCCTCATTTCCTCCCCATCATTTCCTGAACTCTGACAAAGAATCCCAACTCAAGGACCATCCTTTTCTACCTGTCAAAAGAGGCTTCTCAGACATGTCATGGATGCCGCTGCATTTTCCACTCAGTCTTGACAAAGTTCGTAACTCATCTGCAGACCTGAGGCATATCACCGTCACCCCGTAGCAGCACACTTTCCATGTGTGGTCAGGAACCCTGAGTTCCTGCTTTCTCTATTCCTGCTTCTGAATCTCTCTCAATTCTTAGTATTTTTACTTGCAGGGTAGGGAGGACTATGGGGTCCTGATTCTCTGAGTTTCTAGCTCCTACATTGGGCGCTTGCCTTCCCGAGGCCTCACCACCCATTCTTCTTACCTATCTCCCCTATCTTCCTCCCTCTCTCTCTCTGGGCAAGGTATAGGAACATGCTTTAAGGGTATACAAGCAGGTGTGATTTTGCAGGAGAGGGTGTAGGTGGGTGAGAGGGTGTGCATTGTGATGTATGAGGGAGGGTGTGCATTTGTGCAAACTCTAAATGTGACTGGCAGTTTGTGGGTGGATGGGGAGAAAGTGTGTGTGTGTGTGTGTGTGTGTGTGTGTGTGTGTGTGACTGGAGGAGGTTGGCTCCTTATGCAAAAACATGCCTGCAAAAATCTCCCTTCCTTTCATAAACTGATTGCTTGGAAGGGACATAATCATATCAACAGGAAATATATTTGACCTAATGCAGGAGCAGCTGTCCCAGGAGTTCCTGTCCTCGGAACAGAACCAGAGCCAGCTATGATCTATCCTTGGGGAGTAAGAAGGACCTGCAGGGGAGAGGAAGTAAGGGCCAGCAGCAGACCCTTATTATGGATAGAGCTAGGTTAGACCCTGACATCTCCCTACTCAGGTGAATTAAGTATCTGCCCACTCTTTGGCTTTTATGACCCAAGACTGCCCAAAGAGGCCAAAGATCAAGAGAAGGCAAAAACAAACCTGGAAATGAAAAACATCTGCCCATAGTAACAGAACACTCCGAAGCAACTTTCAGCAGTCTCAGAAAGCAGCTACTTCAACATTTTCAGAGTTATGACCTCCTCTTCCAGCCCCTCTGGCGGGGGGGGGGGGGGCCGGGGGGGGGGGGAAGGAAACAAGGAGAGGCCATGGCAATCTCCCTGGCTGTGTAACCAAGAACCTATTCTTTCTCAACTACTGGTTAAAGAGGTGAGAGTTGTGAAGTTACACTTAAGGAATGGGGCAGGCCAAAGACTGTGTTCCTCATCACCTTAGAGAAGCCAGAGAATCTATGCATGTGGGGCTTGGAGGAAAACTACCTACAGGTGTGATGCCAGGCACTCTGGGAACTGTTGCTGTACTGCAACTGCCAAAAGTCTCATGCCTGAAAATTCCTAAGCCAAAACAATGCCACTCCTTGCCCAGCAAAAGATGCAGAAGAAAGGTAAATTCCTAGGAGAAACTACATTTTGACTTAACAGTGAGGGGGGACTTTCAAATGATCAGATTTTTCCCCAAAAGCAGGTTTAGGAAGTAGGGAGGGAGCAATAAGTTTGGGTTTTCTGAAACAGCAGATGGATCCAGATATGTGGAAGAAAAAGTTGTCCTTTTCAAAATTTCACCTAGGGATGGCCCTGAGCAGAGTTTCATGTGTAACTGTGAGTGTGTGTGTGGGGCGGGGCGGATCTGAATGCCTCGTATTTAGTTGTCTGTATTTCTCTTTTTGACTTGACTCTCTTTCACTGCAGTCTGGTAAGTGAGGTTTTTCTGGCTTTATTTTTATAAAAACTTTTATTACGGGCCATTTTAAACATATACACAAGTAGAGAGAATAGTAGTATAATGATGAATCCCCAATGTACCTATCACGCTGCTTCGGTGATTACCTTGCCCAATTGTATTCCACTGTCCTATTTTTTTGTTGTTTTGCTAGAATTTTTACAAGCAAATCTTAGCCATAAAATTAATTTTAGCCATAAAATTAATTAATATTATACTATGTATCTGTAACAGGCTTTTTTTTTTTAATGCCTACAGCACCTGGTCTTCTTAGGTGGTCTCCCATCCAAGTACTAACCACCAGGCCTGACCCTGCTTAGCTTCCAGTATCAGACATCAGGCTTGTTCAGGGTGACATGGCCGTAGAATTCAGGACCTTCTGCTTGTAAAGCAGATGTGCGAACCACTACACTACAGAACCACGTCCTGTAACAGCCTTTAAAAAACCTCATCCATATATAGATTCGAATGGTTATATATAGAAATATTTATAGATATGCATATATATATAACAGTATACCCATATATTTCCTTTTTCAGCTGAGAAAGACCTAAAAGCAAGACATCCCAGTGGCATGAGCGTACCTAGCACCTAAATCTTGGTTTTTAATACCACTTTCCAATAAAAGGAACCAAGAGTCCTTGGAGAAATGCTGATTCTAGGATTGGGGCAGTAAATATACTGCTTAGGGCATCCTGCAGTGCCAGAAAATAAGGAAGTGCTCAAAAACAAAAACAAAAAACCCAAACACACACACACACACTGCTGGGGTATGTCAAAGGGTCAAATATATATTTGAATAAATAAATTAATGGGGAGCATAGATAAATCTCCCATGCAGAAGAACTGCAAATAATTTATGTAGATACTTCACTCACAAGGAAGGGGAGTACAACCTTCATTCCAGTGTAGGCTGTGAAAAGTGACTACTTTCCAAAGAAGACAGAAGGGAAAATGGGGAAAAAAGTAACTTTACAGTCTATGGCCATGCCACCCTGAACATGCCCGATCTCATTTATCTCAGAAACTAAGCGGGGTTGGGCCTAGTTAGTACTTGGATGGGAGACCACTTAGGAATACCAGGTGCTGTAGGCGTTAAAAAAAAAAATAACTTTACAGTGGGAAGATCTGACAAACATTACATAAGCCAGTTGATTAAAGTTAACATCAACAGTAGTTAAGTCATGTTGATAGTAGCTACCCTTGATATGATAAAAATGGCATTTTAGCTCTGTGGTCTTCTTCCCAAATAACCATGATCCCAGTCCAATCATGAAAAAAAATCAGGCAAACCTCAAAAGAGGAACATTCTACAAAATACCCTACCAATACTACTTTAAACTGTCCAAGTCATTGAAAACCAAAGTCTACAAAACTGTCACAGCCAAGAGGAGCTTAAAGAGATGTGACAACTAGATATAATGTGGTATCCTCAAATGGAACAGAAAATGACATTAGGGAAAAGTTGAGGATATCTTAATAAAGTATGGGCTTTAGTTAGTAATAATGTGTCAATATTGATTCATTAGTTCAAAAAAAATGTACCATATTAATGTTAGATGTTAACAACAGGGGAAATTGTGCTTGGGATAAATGGAAACTCTATTTGCGATTTTTCTGTAAATCTAAAACACATACAAACCAAAAAACAAAAACAAAACCCACGCACATCCATACCCAATAAATTTTTTAAAAATCCGTAAAATCGTGCTTGCTTCAGTAGCACATATACTAAAATTGGAATGATACAGAGGAGATTAGCATGGCACCTGTGCAAGGATAATATGCAAATTCATGAAGCGTTCTATATTCTTGACAGAAAGAAATCTAACTATGGGAGGTGAACACACAGTGTAAATATATATATGCCTTACTGTTAAAGTGTACAACTGAAACTTAACTGGATTTCATTAACCAATATCACCATAAAAAATTTAAAAATGAATAAATTTTTAAAAATCCATAAAATCATATTATACCCAGTTTGTGTTTAGTTCTACTCAACAGTCTCAAAAAGTCTTTTTACAGTAGGTGTGTTTGAATCAGGATACAAACAAAGACAACATATTTAATTGATTACTCTTATAGATTTTAAAATCTCCCTTGGACATGAAATTCATAGAAGAAACTGGGTCATTTGTAGAATTCCTACAATCTAAATTTGGTTAATAGTATCCTTGTGCTATCATTTAACATGTTCCTCCACTACCCACACTTCCTGAAGATTGGTTGTTAGATCTAGATGCTTGGCTAGATTCAGGTTGTTTTTTTGCATGAAGCCTTCTGAGAAAGTGTTTTGTACTTCCAATTTTATCATAGCAGGAGGCACATTATGTCCCATGGTCCCGTATTTAGTGATGATAAGATTCATCAGTAGGTTTATAAGTTGGCAACCTGATCCATCCAAAGTCCTCATCAATCTTTCACCTAATAATTTTATTGATCATTGACGATCAGTTCCCGGAGTGATTATATCATCAGATGCAAACAGTGATTTTCTACTGTCATTCTTCCTGCATTTTTGGCTCTAGTTCTCTTCTCTCATTTCCCATAACTTCTGATCAAGTCCAATACTATTTTGGACCCCAAAGCTGACTAAATCCTAGTAACTGAAATTTACTGCTGCAGTTGCAATCAAGAGGAACTAAAGAAGGATTCTATAGAATGCGTGGAAACTTGTTGGAAATGCAAATTCTTGGGTCCTGTTCGACACCTACTGAATCAGAAACTCTAAAACAGACCCAGCAATCTGTTTTAACAAGCCCACCAGGTGCCTGCTAAAGTTTGAGAACCACTGCCCTAAGACAGCCTTCAACAAAGCAATGATGTACTAAGGTCCTACGTGCATGGCAATATGCTGGGAGCTGAACATTATGGATGCAAAAAAGGCCTGGTGTCCTGGTGCCCCACCATCTATTCAAGGGAACAGGACATATGCTTGTGAAAAGGTAACTAGTAATATAGTTGATAGTCAGTGTTCCCAACAAGCCACACAAGTGGTACAAGTGGAAGATTCCAAGGAAAGTTCAGTGAGTTGGCCTGGTTGGCCAAGGTTTTAGAGTTGACTCCAGCTATTCCTCAAAAGAAGAGAAAGACTTTGGGGGTAAAGGTGGAAGGGAAAATAGGGAGGATTTCCAATAAGGGGCACTAGCATGAATAAAGGAAGGATGCTCATGAAAAGGATCACCTTGCTGGCAGTGAGGCTGCTTTCTTCTCTCTTACCACCACCATTATGGCAGTTTGGGTGCGGGTGTAAGATATGGTTTACCCGGCTGGAAAGTGCAGAGGGACGTCTGGGTGTTGTATGTGTAGAAAGGCCTGTGCCTGCTGTACATCTGAAGGATAAGTGTTCTGAACGTCGGCATAGAACTCACGTGGTCGAGTACCTTCGCACTCACTGGTTCCGAAGGCCAAGCGGGCAAGCCCCAGCGTGGACGAAGCCACGCCCGGGGGAGGCGGGGCCGGGCTGCGGGGCGGAAACTCAAATCTGGCGGCGGCGGAAGCGCGGCCCCTGCGGGGCAAGATGGCGGCGCCCAGGCGGTCTTAGAACAAGTAGGTGGCTTGGCTGGAGAGACAGACTTCATCAGATACCGGTGGACGACTGTCGTGCAGGGTATCCAGTTCCTTTGTCGGAGCCTACCCGAGTGCGTTTGGACTGCACAGGAGTGGCCTCGGCCCCTTGGGTGAGGAGATCCTGGGGACGGCCCCCCATCCCGGAGCAGCATAAGCTGGGACTCCTGATTTCTCTGTGCTGACACGGGTGGTCCAGGAGCGCAGGAGACCACAGAGCCCTTGAAGGACCAGATAGTGTACAAGTGTTGTACTTCTCCCATCCAAGTACTAACCAAGCTCAACCTTGCTTAGCTTCTGACATCAGATGAGATCGGGCGCGTTCAGGGTGGTATGGCCGTAGACCAAGTCTTGTACTTCTTTGGTGATACTTATTCTTAAGTATTTTATTTTTCTTGATGCTATTGTAAGTGGAATTGTTTTCCTAATTTAATTTTCTAATCGTTTTTTGTTAGTATATAGAAATACAAGTGTTTTTTATATATCAGCCTTTTACAGCCCAAGGTTTTCAATAATTCAGTAGTTTTAGCCGAGGCACGTTCTCTCCAGATTGATACAGAATCACCATTCCCCGATATGACTCATTTATCTGTCTGGCTCCTGATGGCATTTTCCTTAGTTCCCCTTCAGTTGTTCCTGAGTTTTTATCATTCACATATTGTAAACAATCTAAGTTGGCAGTAAATATTGTTGAAAGACTGATGACACCAGGGAGGGAATGGCAATAAGGTATGAAATGGGGAGAAATGAGTTGACATGAACCCAAGGAAAAAGAGGGTTTTTTTGATGCATGATAAAAAGAACCAACTACAGAGGGCCCATCTTCTTTATTGTTTTTAGGGGTGAATGAGAGGGCGTTCCCACACTGAAGCAGTGCTGGAAAGTCACACTGGGCAGGCAGCTGGAGTGTCATAATGCTGTCAAGGCCAAAGCCAGGGGAGTCTGAAGTGGACCTGCTACAGTTCCAGAGTCAGTTTCTGGCAGCTGGTGCAACCCCAGCGGTACAATTGGTGAAGAAAGGAAGTAGAAGAGATGGCAATGCTAATCCAGACCAGCCTCTGCAGCAGGATCATCGTGATGTGGTGATGCTGGACAGTGAGTGGTTGCGGGTGTGAGGCTGAGAAGAAGAGAGAGTACAGCCTCAGGGTCCCCTCCTGCATCCTAATGGCTGGATTCTGCCAAACCATTATTTCAGACACTGAATAGCCTCTGTTGCTGCAGGCCATTTTACATAGGAAGAAACTGAGGCTCAAAGATGTTAAAGATCTTGCCGAAGTTGACATAGCTTAAGCCAGGGCCCCACATCAGCTGCTTTTCTTTCTTTGGCTTCTCCCTAACCCTCAGACTCTTCCTGGGAAGGTATGAGTATCCTCAGATCTGGATTTTTTTCTTCCTCAGATCTCTCAGATTTGCCCCCAGCTTTGGTTCCTGCTCCCCCGAAAAGAGCCAGGCCCAGCCCTGGCCATCCCCTGGCTGAACATGAGGACCCCGAAGAGAGGCTGAACAGGCATGATCAGCACATCACTGCTGTTTTGACTAAGATTATTGTGCGTCTCACCCTGGCTGAATGGGACAAGTCATCCTAGGGCAGCAAGGATATTGGGTGGGGCTGGTGAGCTTTATGAATAGTGATTCAGAAAGATGAGACTTTATCCCCTTGAAGTCAGGTTGGGGGCTGGTTTAGAATCACTACGCCCTAAAAAGCAAGGTGGGTTTATCATTCCCTAGAGCGAGATTCTAGTCATATAGAACTGGTGCTAGTGAGATAGGCTCCATCTGGGGAAATCTCTATATTACCACTACTTTATGCTTTGTTGCTGCAGGAACGAGATACAAGTTCAGCGGCTGTGAATCTGCCTGTGCCCAGCGGTGTTGCATTCCCTCCTGTATTCCATCGCTCACAAGAGAGACAGGTATGCAGGAGTAACTTTAGATGGTGCTTAGGGTATAGTTGCGTGAGCCTCAGTGCATCTTCCTCAGGTAGGTAATCTTAATAATGATAAGCAATTCCGTTGTTAAAGCAGCACCATACTAAGCACTTTATATACATTACTTCATTTAATCCTTATAATAATTGTGTATGGTAGGTATCATTATCCCCATTTTTTTCAGATGAGGAATCTAAGACCCCCCCCAAGAGATAGATAACTTGTCCAATACCACATATCTAATAGAGAATCCCAAAAATCCAACCCAGATCCTTTAGACTATTAAGACCTGTGCTCCTGTAGTGCTCTGCTTCTTCTGAGGACTAGGGTTGTGATCCTTGGAGATTAAGCAAATCCCTTTTATCTCTTTGTTTGAGTGACCTGGGTATAAAGAGATTGAGAAAAAGAATGAGGTGATGAGTATCAATCACCTGGGTTTTCTTTTTGCCCCATAGAGGAAGCCAGCAACATGTGGTAAGAGAAGCATCTTTGCCCAGGAAATTGCAGCACGGAAAGTATCTGAAGCCAGAGTCCCACCGGTTAGAGAAGTTGTGTCTACCCTGGACCCACCAGAGGGTAAGCTGAGATTGAAGAGTCATGGGCTTGGCCGTTTTGTGATACTTGATCATAGAGTCATCTTTGGATATGTTCCTGGCCTATGGATACATGTTCCTGGCCTCAGATACGAAGTCCATTTGAGCCATCTAAAGAGAAAGCTGTCCCATATTGCCACTTAGAGTATTGAGCATGAGTGGCTTGGGTCCGCATATGGGTCTTAGGTACAGGAAGAGGGCAGGCCATGACTCAACCCTAGGAGAAGGGAAGAATATAGAAATGTCTGGTGGAAACTGTAAAATAAAGATGGAAGCCAAAATTCCTTTAAAGATACAAATTACTAGCAGAATAGCTGGGGGCAGGCCCTGGAGGCAGATAGCTACCTAAACATCTAAGAGAATAGTCAGAAAGTAGAATGTTTCTAAGGGAAATTTCTTATGTAAGTTCAAGGGGAAGAATGAGTGGGTTGGCGTGGAGAGGTTACCATCCCAACTCAACTTATTAGGGGTGGGGGACAGTCTCCACTCTGTGCCTGGGAAAGTTCTGGGGCCTCCCTCTGTCTTCCAGGGCTAGTGGGATTGGAAAAGAGGGCCAGAAAGCCCAGTTAGTATGAGGTGATGAAACTGATTATACACTTCTTCCAGGTACTGTGACCTGTGAGTCATTCTTCCCTAGGGAGCCAGACTGCCAGGTTCCATGGGGCAGCCAGAGTTTCCAGGGACCCCATCTGGTCACAGGGAAGGGGCTCAGGGGCCAGGAGG